TAAAAAAAAAAAAAAAAAGACAAAACAAACCGTTTCCTTGTCTCTGAGTTCTAGTTTCTTAATTCTTAGGAAGCTGAAAAATCACTCCATGAGATGTGTTGTTATCATTTACATCACTCAAGAATGAGAAGATCTAGGGAAATAATTCATCCCTTTCTCCTTGTATTTGCTGAGATGCCCTTCATCTTTATTTGAAGGATGAGAACCAAAGCTATTTGGTGATAGGGCCTTCAAATTGCAACAAAGGTTGGGGTTATTGTGCCTTTTAGGAAATTCCAAGGAAAAATATCAAGTTGTGTGTGTGTGTCTGTGTGTGTGTGTGTGTTTACATATTTCCTACAATCATTTGTCTTACTTTTTGAGGGCATGTCAACTACCGGTGGAAAAAAAAAATAAATACAAGGGGGTCTATGCTGTGAGTAGTTGAAATAAAAATACTGGTGTTTTGATGGGATGAATTCAGTATATTTATAATAGACTAATTCACCCAGAATCAACTTCTAAAACCAGTTTGCCTTAACTCATTTAATTCAATTTCAGTTAGCCTGATGACTACTGCATCTAATGTTGAAAATTTAGAATTAAAAATGAAATATTGGCCGGATGCAGTGGCTCATGCCTGTATCCCAGCACTTTGGGAGGCCGAGGCGGGTAGATAATTTGAGGTCGGGAGTTTGAGACTAGCCTGGCCAACATGGTGATACACCATCTCTACTAAAAATACAAAAATTAGCCAGGCAGGGTGGCAGGTGCCTGTAGTCCCAGCTACTCAGGAGGCTGAAGCAGAATAATTTCTTGAACCCCAGAGGCAAAGGTTGCAGTGAGCCAAGATTGTGCCACTGTGCTCCAGCCTGGGTGATAGAGCGAGACTCTGTCTCAAAAAACAAAAAAAAAAAAAAAAAGAAAGAAAGAAAAGAAAAAAGAAACATTTACCAAATAATATGGCTGAGTATTTATGACTTATTTTTGTACTGCTAATACTTTATCACATATAGGGACTCATGAGATTGTTACATATTGTTGTAACTGTCTTTTTCTGTTTCACTCATTTTGAACACTTGCATTATTCTTCAGCCAATTTGTCAAAAAAGTCTATTTCTTTACAATTTTGAATTTCTGCTAAAAATGTTTAGTGAAATAAAATTTATTCCATTAAAAAATGAACCTTTTGATTATTATTGCCTCCTTGGTACTTTCCTTTATTATAAGAGTCTATGAACTCTACGTGTGTGTGTGTATGTATATATATATACACACACACACACATATGTATGCATTAACCAAATTAGCATATTCTCAGAGCTCATTTCTGTTTAGTGAGGTACTTGTATTTTAAAAGAATAAAGAAAAGTGGGTCCCTCTTTTGATCACCATTCCATGTTATTTATCAGGATATCTAATTGATAAAGATTTTGTTTTGTTTTGAGACAGAGTCTCTCTCTGCCTCCCAAGTTGGAGTGAAGTGGTATGTGATCTCGCTCATTGCAACCTCTGCCTGAGCTCAAATGATCCTCCTGCCATAGCCTCCCAAGTAGCTGGGACTACAGGTGTGTGCCATCTTGCTCAGCTAATTTTTGTATTTTTTGTAAAGAAGGAGTTTCACCCTCCTATTCAACATAGTATTAGAAGCCCTGGCCACCGCAATCAGACAAGAGAAAGAAAGAAAAGTCATCCAAATAGGAAGAGGGGAAGTCAAAGTATCCCTGTTTGCAGATAACATGATTCTATATCTAGAAATCCCATAGTCTCTGCCCAAAAGCTCCTTCAACTGTTAAGCAACATCAGCAAAGTTTCAGGGTACAAAAGTAATGTACAAAAATCAGTAAATTCCTATATACCAACAATCGCCAAGCCAAATCAGAAACATAATCCCTTTCGCAATTGCTACAAAAGAATAAATACCTAGGAATACAGCTAACCAGGGAGGTGAAAGATCTCTGCAATAAGAATTACAAAACGCTGCTCAGTGTGCCCAAAGAAATTTATAGATTCAGTGCTATTGCTGTCAAACAACCAATTACATTCTTCACAGAACTAGAAAAAAAAACTATTCTAAAATTCATATAGAATCAAAGAAGGGCCCAAACAGCCAAGGCAACCCTAAGCAAAAAGAACAAAGTTGGAGGAATCACGGTATCTGACTTCAAACTATACTACAGGGCTACAGTAACCAAAACAGCATGGTACTGGTACAAAAACAGACACATAGACCACTGGAAGAGAATAGAGAGCCCAGAAATAAAACCACACACTTACAACCATCTAGACTTAGGCAAAGCTGGCAAAAACAAGCAATGGGGAAAGAATCCCTATTTAATAAATGGTGCTGTGATAGCTGGCTAGCCATATGTAGAAGATTGAAACTGGATCCCTTCCCTACACCATATACAAAAATCAACTCAAGATGGATTATAGACCTAAATGTAAAACCTAAAATGGTAAACCTGAAAGATAACGTAGGAAATAACATTTTGGACATAGGAACTGGCAAAGATTTCATGACAAAAATGCCAAAAGCAACTGCAGCAAAAGCAAAATCTGACAAATGGAACTTAATTAAACTTAAGAGCTTCTGCATAGCAAAAGAAACTATCAACAGACTAAACAGGCTACTTACAGAATGGGAGAAATATTCACAAACCTTATACACCTGACAAAGGTCTAGTATTCAGAATCTACAAGAAACTTACACATACAATCACAAAAACAACCTCATTTAAAAGTGAGCAAAGGGCATAAACACACTTTTGAAAAGAAGATGTACATGCAGTCAACAAGCATATGAAAAAATGCTCAATATCACTAATCATTAGAGAAATGCAAATCAAAACCACAATGAGATACCATGTCACTGCAGCTATTATTAAAAAGTCAAAAAATAACAGATGCTGTTCAAGACCAGCCTGGACAACATGGCAAAACCTCATCTCTACTAGAAGTCCAAAAGTTAGCCAGGTGTGGTAGCACGTGCCTGTAATCTCAGCTACGTGGGAGGCTGAGGCAGGAAAATCACTCGAACCTGGGAGGCAGAGGCTGCAGTGAGCCAAGATCACGCCACTGCACTGCATTCTTTCCTGGGCAACACAGTGAGACTCCACCTCAAAAGAAATAAAAAATTAAAAAATAACAGATATTGGCGAGGTTGCTGAGAAAAGGGAACTCTTATACCCTGCTGGTGGTGGTGTAAATTAGTTCAACCACTGTGGAAAGCAGGGTGGTAAGTCCTAAGATAACTAAACTGAAAACAGAACCACCATTCAACCCAGCACTCCCACTACTGAGTATATATCCAAAGGAATATAAATCAGTACCATAAAGACACATGTGTGCAAATGTTCATTGCAGCAATATTCATAATAGCAAAGATGTGGAATCAACCTAAATGCCTATCAATGACAGATTGGACAAAGAAAATGTGGCACATATACACCATGGAATACTGTGGAATACTATGTGGTCATAAAAAATAATAAGATCATGTGCTTTGTAGGAACATGTATGGAACTGGAGGCCACTAACCTTAGCAAACTAATGCAGGAACAGAAAACTAAATACTGCATGTTCCTACTTATAAGTGGGAGAACACATGGACAGAAAGAGGAGAACAACAGACACTGGGACCTACCTGAGGGTAGAGGGTTGGAGAAGGGAGAGGATTAGAAAAAAAATAAAACAACTTTCGGGCACTATGCTTAGTACTCGGGTGATGAAATAATCTATACACCAAACTCCCAAGTCACAAGTTTACCTACATAACAAACCTGAATATGTACCCCCGAACCTAAAATCAAAGTTACAATATTCTTCAGGATCACTGAATAAAAAGCCCATAGAGATTCAAAAAAGTCATACACTGAAAGTTATAAAAACCTTGTAGTCACCAACCCTCACAAATCTAAAAGAGAATGATCAGAAATACAAGCTCATTGTATTTTAAGATGATTGACCTCTCAGAGAAATTCACGTTACAGCCCTTAAAAATCCCCCCAAAAATGACACCCAAATGGATCTAAAACCTTCAAAAAGAAGTTAGACCTGAACATTAGGAGAAATTTTAATATGGCAAATTGATTTTAGACAAAGCATATGTTTTACTGTTTACTTTCATAATGAAAGTTGAGATGACAGAATGAAGTAACCATAAAGCACTTGGTAAAGAGTGTGAAGTTTTTAATTTACAAGAAAGAAAATGGAATAATTCAGAAATGCTGGTTATATCACACCCTTGCCAGGATTCTCATGCCTTGGGAGAGTCTAAGTTGGGGCCGTTTGTCCTGGAAATCACATACCACCAGAGGACAGGCATGGTCTCCTCAGAGATGATGGTCTCCTCAGAGATGATGGTCTCCACGCTTACATCCGTGAGCATAGGCAGCTACATAATTTGCAGGGCTAGGTGTTCAAAAAACAGTGAGGATTTCAAGGTAGTGACAGCAGAACATTAAATTAAGCCCGAGGCCCTTCTGAGTGCAGGTGCCGTGCAGCTACCCAGGTCACACACCCACCCCTGAGGCAGCCAGGTCTATGAGAACAACCATTGCCTACTTTCTACTTTCTCTTCTACCCTCTCTCCTCTACATCTTCTTTTCTTTTCTCCTTCTCCTTCTTCTTTTTCTTTTCCTTTTTTTTTTTTCCCTCTAGGTCTACTTTATGCATCTTCTCTGTTAACCTCCACATCTTGCTTTCTTAATGTAAAGTCCCTGGGTAGCTAATGGAGGGAAATTCTGAGCTTAGATATTCCCTTGGTGGATGTTACCCATGATTGACTCAGTTTGAAAAGAACACGTTTCCTAAAGATACTCAATATTTTCTTAATTTCCTCCAAGTCTGCCCATTAATGCAGCAGCTGGCCTCCTAGCAGAAGCAGAGAACTTTTCAGAAACTGAGAGATCAGCAGTATCAAAACAATCTCTTTCAAAGCATAAGATGAAAATGTACTAATGTTCTTTCTTTTCCCCTTTAATTTGACTTCCTGTGGGAACTTCCTTTCCTGTTAATAGAATGGAGGTAAGAAACTTATAGTACCAATGTTTCCAATGTTTTGTTTTGTAGGGATTTCATTTGTTTTTGTTTGTGAGAGAGTCTTGTTGTGTTGCCTAGGCTGGAGTGCGTGGCATGTGTTTTGTTTTTGTTATTTGACATGCCATTGATTGAGTGTTTACTATTTGCTGAGCACTGTAACATTTTAGAAACTTTCTAATTTCTAATCCTTTTAGTAAGTATGATGAAGTGAAAGACAGGTAACCTCTACTGAATACTTACTATGGATCAGGCACTGTGCTGAGCTTCACATGCATTATTTAAATTTATCTTCAAGACATCCCCATGGAATAGGTATTATTGTTATCTCTATTTTACAGAAAAAAAAAAAAAAAAACCTAAGAAAGTTTCTTTGAACTGGAGAGTTCAAGTGGCTTACACAGCTAGTAAATGATAAAGTTAGAAATGGAACCCAGAACTCCAAACTCTCCCCCATAGCTCTATCCTATATATAAGAAGGTATCCCTTGCAATATAACCTTTTGCAACTTACAGTGTTTAATTTGCAGTACTTTTAAAACTGACTTTCATAAAACTCTATGGAATGTAATTAATTTAAAGACAGCATTCTTAGCACATAGGCTATGTTTAAAAACAGGCAGCAGGATACAAAATTTGGTTAGACAGCAAAAATAAGTTCAAGAGATTTAGAGTACAATACAGTGACTATCAATAACAATGTATTGTATTCTTGACAATCACTGAGAATGGATTTTAAGTGTTCTCATCATAAGAAAATGGTAAGTATGTGAGGTAATACATTTGTTAATTAGCTCAATTTAGTCATCCCATAATGCGTACATGTTTTACAACATCATGTGGTACACAACAAGAACAAAAAATACAGGTTTTAACTAAAAACACTTTTTAAAGAAAGTTTTGCTGTTAAAAAAGTCTTAAGAAATACCATTTGGGCCGGGCGCGGTGGCTCAAGCCTGTAATCCCAGCACTTTGGGAGGCCGAGA